CTCCACCGCCAGCTCCGTGTACGTGTACTTGTTGAACTCTTCCTCTGCCTGCTTACATGAGGGGTCATATCCAACCTTCCCCCTCACGGCCCATGCGCTCTTCGCCAAACCACCGGCACGCGCACACCAACACAATGTCCCTGCGCATATACAAGCAATCATACAAAGAGACAATGTGTGTATGTGTGTGAGGTGGATCCAGACAGACACGCACGCAGCATCAATACCATTTCACGCCGAGGCAACGCACGACGCACACAAACGGAACGAAGTAACACACAACACTCGCACGCGCAGCACACCACGCCTGCCGTTGTGCAGCTTGGGGGGGGGGGAGATGGTTGCGCATGGCATCAAGAACGAGCAGACTTGGTAGTGCTTCTGTACAGCAGAGAAAGTAGACACACGTCAAGCAGCGGCACCACAACATGTTTGGAGTGAGATTGCAGCGGCTACAAGAAGCGCGAGTGGTGGTGCAGTGAGCGACACCAACCCTCTAATCCCAGCAGCAGCAGCAGTGAACATCGAACCCCACATCCCACCACGTCACAACACACACGCATGCATGCATGCACAGACCTGAAGGTGGCGAGGTATTTCCTGTTTGTGCGGGTGGAACGCGTCGCTGCTCCGGTGTGCATGAATGAATGTCACCATGGAGAAGAGCGGCATGGACACATGGAGGCCGCCACGGTGGTGGAATTCACTGAAGTGGTGTGATGAGATGGAATAGACAGGATTGGTGAAGCGTGTAAGCAACAGCAGTCGCACATGGTGCGTGCCAACCCCATATACATCCCTCTTCCACCACATACATGCACACACACACACACACATACACACACGCCTACCTGTGTCAGCATCGTGGATTGACGAGGAGGAGGTGATGGACGAGTCAGGGCATGCGACACAGCAAGCCGTTGCCACCCAACACCCACCACCATACCACTTCTAGGAACGGATAGTATGGTTGTGTCCACCGCACTTGCGGCTGGATCGACGATGAAGATGGATGGCGAGTTGCATGAAATGCCGTGGCAGGAAAAGGCCATTGTCCACAGCCACGCCGCTGTTCCACTTGCATCCGCCGTGTAGCAGCTCACCAAGCGTGGTGGTGTCTGTTGTGCTCGTGCTGCGATCAGTAGTCACACTCATAGAGGAGGGTGTTGTGAGCACGCACACCGCCTGCAATGCCCACATGGCTCAATCGGCTCGCAGACTGTTGATGGTGGTTGTGTCATCCACTGCTGCTGTCACTGCTGTCATCGCTGCTGTCGCTGTTGATGTTGATGATGGGCTGATGATGGGCACAGAGGTGGTGGGAGTTGCATCAAAGGGAAGGATGCCGTAGATGAGGCTGTTGCTGGTGACGACGCCATCAATCCCCAATCGCAGTTGCCAGAGTGCATCTTGGATGCTGTTGCCAGACGGTGGGCTGACAGTGTTTGTGGCTTGTGTCACACATGTATGCAACGGGCCAAGAAGGAGACCGGTTTGTGGTTGTTCACTGCCTGCTGGCTGGCTTGCCGTGCATTTGTCGTGCTTTGTCCCGGTCGCAAGCAGCACAGCAGTTGGTACCCCCTTCCCTTTCGTTCCTCCACACAGAGCTCTGCTCCATCAAGCCGTTCGCCCTGCGTGTGCGTGCTTGTGCGTGTCTGTGCGTGTCTGTGCATGTCTGTGTCTGTGCGTGTGCGTCTGCCTTCCATCACACAGCAGCAGTGAACCCCTTTCAACAAAGTTGTCAACGTGAAATATGCAGTGTGTCCCTCCTCACGTTGTAGGTGTGTGTGTGACAATGATCGTGATCGCTGTAGTCGATGGTTTGTATTGGTTGGGGCAGAAAGCTATTGCCGTACGAGTTGTGGTAGGGAATACACTGGTTGGAAGAATGAATACGCAACACAGTATCAGTTCGCTCATGGCAGGGTAAATCACACATTCACTTGGTCTCCGACGTGTATGACCATGAGTGAACCAAACCATTCTGGTCACTTGACGTGTAGGCTCGTAAGTCTCGTGATGAGACAATTCCTTTGTTCCTGCTGGGCTTCTCCCAGAACACCATAAATCTTAGTGAGTTCTCCCAACTCTCTAACACTCCCCCTGAATTGTGGCATCACGTCTTCTGCTCATACCTGTCTTCGTGTCATGGGCTGCATGGAAGGAGGTTGCTGCTCGCTGTATCCGAGGATGGCTGTCTCTGCTGAAATCTTTCGTGGTAAATTTTCTTTCGCCTTGGCTTCTTCCTTGTCTTTCGTTCGGGTAAATCTCTCGTGCTCGTGCTGTGGCTGATTCTTGCGTTCTGGTTTCATGTCGATGCCTCGACTGCTGTTGGTGTTCGTGTGGACCATCGACTGCTGTGTTCGTTGTTGTGGTTGATGTTGGGTGAAGTCCCTCACCTCTCCGTGATGTCTCTCATCTCTCTTCTTACACCCACTTCATGATCTTGGATGTCAGTAGTTGGTGTTGTCGTTTGCCTAGAGCCTTCGTTAGAAGGTCCGCGGGCTGCTGCGTCGTCTTCAGGTAGGCCAGTTTGATGTTCCCGGCGTCTGCTTGTTGTCGGAGGAAATACATCCTCACACCGAGGTGTTTTGTCCTTGGTGAGAGCTGTTGTTGTTGTGCGAGTGCGATAGCTGATTGTGAGTCGGTGTAGATGGTGACGCTCTCTTGTTCCTGTCCGAGTTCTGCGCATAGGTTCTTCACCCAAATTGCCTGTTTTGCTGCTTCTGTCATACTCACATACTCTGCTTCTGATGTCGACAGGCATACCATCTTCTGGCGTTTCGAGGACCAAAACACCGGGAGACCTCCGATGGTAAGCACAACCCCTGTCCTTGATCTCGACTCGGGCTCGCATGCGTAGGAGGCGTCAGCGAATGCTCGAATCTCGTTGCTTGTGGTTGTCGTGCGTAGTTCATGCCTGTGTGTTTCCACGTACTGCGCGGTTCGCTGTAGTTGCTTCTGGTCCTGTGCTGTTGGGCTCTGGCACTTCTCGCCCAGTACACTCACCGCGTACGCAATATCAGGCCTTGCTGTTGATGCTATGTAAGTCAGACGACCAACCATCGCATGGAACTCATCCCGGCTGTCTGCATCCGTCTCCTTCTCAGGTAAGCCGGTTGCTGTTGCGGATCGATGGTCTGTGGTGAGCGGAGTGTGCGTGTTCACTCTGTCCAAGTGAAGACTGTCGATGTAGCTGTTGGCGTGCGCTCGCAACTGGCCTTTGTGGAGGCTATATTCCACCCCAACAAAACATCCACCCTTGTCACGCTTGATCTCCATCCTCTTCCTCAACTCATTCTCGATCTGGTCCGCAATGTCTGCTGTGTCTGCTGCCACTAACAGGTCATCGACAAACACCAGAAGCTGTTGTCGTCCCCGTAAGTACACACACATGTCCTGTGTAGCCCGCCGCCATCCTTGAGCTTGAAGTTGTTGATGTAGGTGCTTGTTGAAGTCTTGCGGGCTCCTCCTCAGACCATACAACGCCCTCTTGAGTCTGTACACCTTACCATCCGGTCCTCTCACCAACACCGGCTTCTTGCTCTGTATGGGTGCGTGTAGGAATGCTGTCTTGATGTCCAGCTGGCGGACCACCCGAGCTCTGTTGAGGGCCAGGAAAGTAAGTGTTGTTGTTCTGGATGCTGTGGGTGAGTAGTTGCTCTTGCCGTTGTTTCCGTCTGGTTCCATGTTCCCCATCACCACCAACCGTGCCTTTCTGCGCCCATCTCCTTTTGTTGCGTACACAAACCTCGTGTTCAATGGCTTCACGTCATACTCCCCCTCAACTGCTTCATCCCACACATCATGGCGTTCAAGACTGCTCATCTCTTCTGCGACCGCTTCTTCCCATCCTTTCTTCACTTTCACCGCTTTCACTTCTTCGCCCTTCTGCCTCTCTTTGATCCTTGCGGACCGGCGCGGAGCTGCGGTGAATGCTGGGATACTTCTGGTTACTGTCATCCGACCCTCCCCCTCAACGCTGTTGCGTTCCTCAGGTATCACGTTGCTGGTTGAGGGTGCTGTTGTACGTGTCACCGTTGTGTCGGTGATTGGTGCGTCAAATGTTGTTGTCTCTTCTCCAGCTGCGGATGAGGATTCTGTCGTTTTGCCTGCTGCTGATGTTTCACCCAATGCTGTCTCCTTTCTCATCGACCTTGGTGCCTTCCCATGTCCCCTTTTCTTCGTGGCTCTCGTTTTCGGTGTCGCCACTTCCGCGTTGGGTGCTGTCGCTACTTTAGGTGCTGTCTTAGCTCCTTTCTTGACATGAGGTAAGGCTGATGTGGTTCTTTTGGGTGTAGGTGCTGATGTGAATGTAGGTGCTGGTGTGGAGAGAGGCACGATAGCTCTCACTCGCGACTCATCCATTGTCAAAAACTTGACGTGGATGGATCGGGTGAGGCGTCTGTTACCTGGCTCCCACAGAAGGTGGCTTCTTGAGCGTTCATCATACCCCACATAGATTGCTTCTGTTGTCCTTGGTGCCATCTTCGACTTTCTGGCTTCGTTCCTCACATAAGCTGTTACACCAAATTGCTGTAAATGCGTCATTGGAGGGTTTCTGCCGAAGATGTTGCGGAACGGCCCCAGGAAGTTGTTCAGGTACGCCGCGTATCGCAGCGCTGCCGCCCAGAACTCTTCACCCAGTGATGCCGCCTGCAACATGGCACGTGCCATGTTGTTGAGCGTTTGTATGGTACGCTCTGCGTCGCCATTCCTTTCAGGAGTGTATGGTGCTGAGGTGGCCGTGGTGATGTTCAGGGCATACATTGCGTGTGAAAATGCTGTGGATGTAAAGACTCTTTCGTTATCCGTCTTAATCGTTGATCCTTTTCCCACTCCTAGCTGTCTCGGTGCCGCTAGGATCAAACGCGTTGCCACCTCTGCTGCTTCTCCTTTGTTCTCCATCACTCCCACCATTACGAACCCCGTCCTCACCTCCTTCATGACAAGGGCATATCTGCCTCCATGGAGTGAGGTGGGGTAGGGGCCTGCAATGTCTGCCACTAACATCTGCCCCTTCTTGTATTGCTGGTTGTCTCTGCCAGAGTGCTGTGGCATGCTCTTTCTCTTCATCTTGCTCTTCAAGCATGTGTCACACACATTTTCTCGTATCTTCTTGCTGTCTCTGTGTGCGAACAGTTCGTGCAGCTCCTGCAACGCGGTCTTTGACGTGCTGCTGAGGACTTTCACCACTTCGTGCTCGTCATCGATCAAGTAGCTCATGCCTCCGATAGTACTGAGAGTGAGTTTCTTTCCATTGCTGAACTTGATCTCCATATCACCGTCTTTGTTGCTGCGCACTTGATGTCCTCTTTGCACCACTCTTCTTTGGCTGATGATTCTCTCGAATCCTTCCGGCATCAACAACACATCACTCAACACCACCCGACCTGCGCTGGTGTGAATGTGTGCTGTTCCTTGTCCGAGAGCTTTCACCGTTCGGCCATCTGCCACCGTCACTGCTGTGTCTGTTTCTTTCACGTCCGTCAGGTCTTCTCTGAAGCTGGTGACGTGTCGGCTTGCTCCCGAATCCAGTAACCATGCACCTTGAGTTGCTTTCGTGTCCGTGCGTGTGCTGCGAACCTCTTCCCGAATGCTGCATAGCATCTCTTCTTCTTCTCGCAGACTGAACATCTTCTCGCCACTGTGCTGTCGTGGTCCCTTGAACTTCTTCTGTCTTTCTCGTTTCCATTCTCGACAATCTCTCTTCAGATGGCCTGGTTTGTTGCAGAAGAAGCATCGTCTTTCCTCTTTTCTTCCTTTTGGCTTGCTGTCTCTTCTGGGTTTCTCATACACCTTCGCTACTCTCTCTTTCACATGCCCTGCTCTCTGGTCGTTCAGGCTCGTCATGTCTTCTTCGCTCTTGAGGGCATGCATCATGTCTTGGATCGTCAGGTCTTTGGTCAGCCTCAACACCGTCTTAACCCCTCTGTACTTCTCTGGTAGGCGCACGATGATGAGCTGGATGAGATCTTCCTCACTCATGTCTCCACCTGCTCTCGTCATGTTCTCGTGCGTCTCCATGAAGTCGTTCACAAAGGATTCCACAGTGTCATCTCGCTCCCATTGTCTGTTGAACATCTTGATCTTCGCCTCAACCATTGCCACCTTGTCCTTTCTCTCGTACATCTTTGCCAGTGTCTTCCACGCTGCTCTTGCGTTCTCGTCCTCATCCCCTTTGAGCTTGTGCACCAATTTCATTGGGAACCCGGTGAGATACTCTGTGATCCACAGGTAGGCATCTGAGTTCTTCACCTCATCCGTCTCCTCCGAGTCGGGATCCACCACACCCCAGACCTTCTTTCTCTTCAAGAAGTGTCTCATCCTCATGCTCCACCAGCTGTACGAGACCTTGTTTCCGTCAAGTACTGGGATCATATGCCGACCCTCCTCTCGGTGTGCCATCTTGGTGGTGTGCGTGTGTGTGTTTTCTTTTGGGACTGTCCTTGTTTCTTCCAACCCACTCACTTCAGGATCAGAGCTGTTGAGGTCTTTGTGCTGCTGTTGTTGTTGGGTCTCATAATCTGTCAACGTGAAATATGCAGTGTGTCCCTCCTCACGTTGTAGGTGTGTGTGTGACAATGATCGTGATCGCTGTAGTCGATGGTTTGTATTGGTTGGGGCAGAAAGCTATTGCCGTACGAGTTGTGGTAGGGAATACACTGGTTGGAAGAATGAATACGCAACACAGTATCAGTTCGCTCATGGCAGGGTAAATCACACATTCACTTGGTCTCCGACGTGTATGACCATGAGTGAACCAAACCATTCTGGTCACTTGACGTGTAGGCTCGTAAGTCTCGTGATGAGACAATTCCTTTGTTCCTGCTGGGCTTCTCCCAGAACACCATAAATCTTAGTGAGTTCTCCCAACTCTCTAACAAAAGTAGAAAGTGCTGACTCGGCACAATTCTGTTTGTGTTTGTGTTTTGTGGGGAAGAAGACAAGAAGACAAGAATGCGTGCAACGGCAGTGACAGCGCTGCTGTGGTTGGTGGCAGTGGCTGTGAGCGTCGTCCAAGCTCAAGTCCAATGCACCAACCTCCAAGATCAAGGTGTGAGTGTGTGTGTGTGTGTGTGTGTGTGTGTGTGTGTGTGTGTGTGTGTGTGTGTGTGTGTGTGTGTGTGTGTGTGTGTGTGTGTGTAACGAGTTGCGTCGCCATCCCCTCGTCCCATCGCTGCTCTCACCTACCAACACCCCCCCCCCTCCACACACACTCGCACACACTCACACACACCGCGCTGACAATCAAGACGTTTGCGTTTGCTGGCAACATGGCGCAGACGTCCATGACGCGTGAGGCGTGTGCCACGCTCTGCTACACCTTCAACTTTTCCCTCAGCGCCGTTGAGGATGCCTACCAATGCATCTTCTGCGAACACCCAAGCTGAATTCCACCGCGCAGTCTCGGCGGTGTGTGTGTGTGTGTCTGTCTGTGTGTGTGTCTGTGTGTGTGTGTGTGTGTGTGTGTGTGTATCTGTGTGTATCTGTGTGTGTATCTGTGTGTGTATGAGTGTGTGTGCATGCATTAATGTATGCGACCAGCATTCACACTCCCCCCACCCCCACCCAACACACACACTTTTATCCAGCCTTCCTCCGACTGCAACGAGCCATGCACGGGGGTGTCAACCGAGATGTGCAGAGCAGCCAATCGCATGAACATCAATCCGGGCAAACTGTTCCGGCAAACCCGATCCCACAGGTGATTCCAGCACACACACACACACACACAACACAACACAACACACACACTCTCTCTCGGCTCATACGTGGCTGCTGTTGCACCTTGCCTCGTCAGGCCATGCGTGCCTGTCTGCATCGATGAGGGAGTTGCCGTTCTGCAACACGAGTCTGTCCATCGGTGCCCGCCTCGACGACCTCATTGGACGCCTCAGTCTTCAGGAGAAGGCCGGTCTCATTGGCCCTGATCCCGTCACCAGTCCATGCGCCTTCCTTGACTTTGGTGTCAAGAGGTGAGAAAGGACATTCAGCCCACGCAGTGACTTGTGACTCTGTCTGCTTGTGTTTCCCTCCTCACTTCTTCGTGCCACAACCACATCAACCGCCACCACCACTGCTCACACAGCAACACCACCTCCCTCTTCATGCTCGCACATGTGTGTGTGCATGGATGCAGGCTTGATATCCCGCCGTATCTGTATCTGGTGGAGACGAACACGGCCGTTGCCTTTGCGTGCATCATCAGCCAGGACATGTGTGCCACAACCTTCATTGGCCCCACAGGTCTTGGCGCAGCCTTCAACCGAGTGTGTGTGTGTGTGTGTGTGTGTGTGTGTGTGTGTGTGTGTGTGTGTGTGTGTGTGTGTGTGTGTGTGTGTGTGTGCGTCTGCTATGTCGTCTTCTTCTCCTTGATCAGAGCTCCTGTCGTTCATTCCCTCCCTCCTCGTCCCCATTCCCCTACCGGTTCTTCGCTTCCAGGTCGTATCCACGGAGATGCGCGCCTTCAACAATCTCAACTGGCACAGGGGCGGCAGCGTCTTGCAGAAGATCGGACTCACAGGCACAGGTGCCCCCTTCATCACGTGTTGCTGACGCTAGTTCACATATCACACCCGTGCGATCACTCGACAACAGTTCCACGCATTGCCCCAACACCCCTTCGCACACACCCACACACTCACTCACTCACTTTGCAGGCCCGCCCACTCGCCTTCACTGCACCCCTCTCAACCTCTGAGACCCGTGCTTGAGCGGTGAGTGCGCTGCTGCTGACGTCACCGGCTGCCAGGACGGCACAGACAAGAAGTACAAGAAAATGACAGCAGGTACGCACACGCATCCAACCTCACACACGTGCGTGTGTGCAATTGCCCACAACCGTGTCAGCGACGCTGTTTCATATGCACACTTGGTGGTGGACGTGTCATTTACACTGCTGTCACCGCTCCATTGCGATTTTGGGTCCCAAGCACTTTGACGCGGCCTCGGTCGAGACAAGCCGCATGGCATTCAACGGGAACATCTCCACCTTTGACCTCTGAGACACCGAGGTATGCGTGTATGCGTGTGTGTGTGTGTGTGTGTGTGTGTGTGTGTGTGTGTGTGTGTGTGTGTGTGTGTGTGTGTGTGTGTGTGTGTGTGTGTGCGTGTGCGTGTGTCTGTGTCTGTGTGTGTGTCTGTGTGTGTGTGTGTGTGTGTACTTCCAATCAACATTTCTTGTTAGTTCGACCACGCCACCAGACCTGTGCCATCTTCCTCACCTCCCACCTCCTCATCTTCATCCCGCTCCCCTCTGCCATGTGTCTCATGTGCAGTACACGCGCGGGCAATCACTGCCATGTGCTCGTGCGCCAGCATCAACGGCGTGCCCTGGTGTGCGAACAACATGCTGCTCAACGACGTCGTGGGCGGGCAGTGGAAGCGTGACATGGTGATGATTGGAACAGACTGCTGTGCAATTTGCAAACATGGTCAACGCCAACAAGTACTCCCACGACCCTGTCGATGCTGTCGCGAAGACGCTGAGCGGTGGCGCAGATATGGAGCTCGGGGAGACATGCTTTACCACAAACGGCTACTTGGAGCAGGCTGTGCAGCACAACCACACAACAATCCACACAGTGCACAACAACACCGTGCGGCGGGTCCTCAAGGATAGCTTCATCACGGGCCAACGGTATGTTGTCTTTGTGTGTGTGTGTGTGTGTATGTGTGTGCATGTGTGTGTGTGTGTGTGCGCGCGCTTGTCCTCAAAGTCTCTTGTCAGTGTTGTGACCTTGAAGATGATGAAGCAGTGTTTGTTTCCTCAACACCTCCCAACAGTGTTGTCATTGCCTCTCACACCATCCTCTCCTCCACACACACACACACACACACACACCCCTCCAGGCATCGATGAGTGCACGATCTGCGGATTCAACCCTCCAGTAACGGCCGCTGCATCAGCAAGTGCCCCGATGGCGAGTATGAGCTCGGCCAGCGGGTGTGCTGAATGCCATTCCACGCGTGTGCCGAATGCCATTCCACCAGACGCCACCAACTGCCTCAACCTCTGCGACGGCAATCTCACCAGTCGCGCATTGCCCATTGCCCTCCCGACTGGCTACTACGCCAAGGACCACCGCTGCGTGCCATGCACCACGTGCGGCATGGGCACTTGGGCCTCCACCTCATGCTCCGCGTCCTCCGACGCCGTCTGCTCTCCCTGGACCGAGTGCAAGCCTGGCCAGAAGGAGTCCGTCTGTCTCTGGCAACGCCGTGCGCGACCGTGCGTGAGCTGCACCCTCGGCATGGAGTACCAGCCGCTGTCAGACCGCGCCTCGTGCTTCCCCACCAGCGTGTGCGAGGAGCCCTTCAGCGAGACCATCCCGCCCACGCTCACCACAGACCGCCTCTGCTCCTGCGACACGCTCACCTGCAACCTCATCACGCAGCTGTTTGAGGAGATGGTGTGCGCCTGGCCCACGGACGAGCAGCTCGACGTTGTACTGGACGTGTGCTGCTCCAGCCAGGGCGATGATGGCATCCGCAACACCATTCGCCAGATGGATGCCGACGAGGCACGCCGCTCCTGCCCAGGCTGCACAGACACGTGCGAGTGCAGCACAGGCTTCATCCTTGTCTACGACGCCGATTCGGCCAACTGTTGTCCGTGCGACGGCGTGACGGAGTTCTCCCCGTCCATTGGCGGCAGCAAATGCGAGCCCATTGAGGAGTGCGAGTGCGGCCAGGAGGAGGTCTCCGCGCCAACCCGCTCCTCGGACGGCGTGTACCGCGACTGCCCGGCCGGCCCCATCGACGCGGACAGCGACGGCTCCACGGGTTGCCAGATGTGCGCTGGCCACTACACGGAGGCGGGCTCCCACGGCTCCTGCTCCAGCTTCACCTGCCACGCCAGCACCCACGACCACCACGACAGCGACCCTGCCACCCCGTGCAACGACGTCACAGACTGCGCGTCCGGGTTTGAGGAGGTGCAAGCCATGACGCTCCTCATCAGCGACTGCGTGTCTGCGACGAGTGTCCTGGAGGGCACGTACAAGGCTGTCTCTGGCCAGCCAGGGCGTGCCCTGCCTCCCCGTCACCACGTGCGATGCCGGCGAGGAGGAGACGGCCGAGCCCACCCCCACGAGCAACCGCGTGTGCGGCCAGTGCGAGCTTGGCGCCACCTTCAAGCCCGTCAACGGCCAGGCCGAGTCGTGCTGCCCCGTCACGCAGTGCAGTCCAGATGAGGAAGAGATTCGCGAGATGAGGAAGAGATTCGCTATGCAAACCCACACGCCAGCACGACCGCCTCTGCCGCAAGTGCGTCCAGGACACGTGCGTGCCCGTGACGCGTTGCGCTGCCTCAGAGTACATTTCCACGCATGGCCGTGAGCAAGTGCGAGTTTGGCACCTTCCAGAGCCAGGTGCCCACGCTCGACTCCGACCGCGAGTGCACGCTGGAGTGCTCCGGGTGCTCTAGTGACCGCTACGAGATTCGCGCCTGCTCTGCGCTGGAGGACGTGCAGTGCGCCGGCTGCTCCGCGTGCTCCCCCAAACACATACATCCTGCGCGCCTGCGACTCGCGAGAATGACGTGTCGTGCCAGCAGTGCGGCACGTGCTCTGACGAGCAGTACCAGCGCGCCATGCACCGCCACCAACGACACAGAGTGCACGACGCTCGACGTGTGCGACCAGGACCAGTTTGAGCTGTTCCCTGCCACGCCGACCACGGACCGCATCTGCCGCGACCTGACCCAGTGCAATCTGCCGACGGAGTACGAGCGCACCGCCTGTGCCACCTCATCACCAAGTGCGGCCCTGGCGAGCAGCGCACCCGCGCCCCCACCTCCACCTCCAACACCAAGTGCGAGCCATGCCCCATCGGCACCACCGACCACGACCGCAACCCGCTCACCGCCTGCCAGCCGTGCCTTTACGGCCACTATGTGCCTGCGGGCTCCATCGGCTCCTGCAAGCAATTCCTGTGCCCGGCCGGCACCGTCGACCTGGACCGCCACAACGCCAGCACGCCGTGCATGCCGTGCCAGGCTGGCGTGGACTTTGCCGCCCTCTCTGGCCAGCGCGATTGCACGCCTGTGACGGAGTGCGACCTCGGCTACGAGGAGGTGGTGCGCCCCACCATCTTCACCGACCGCCAGTGCCGCCGCTGCATCGAGGCCCTGTTCTACCGCGACAGCAACACGGACTTCTCCACGCGCGTGTGTCGCCCTGCGAGCCTGGCTCGTTTGAGACGGCCGCACCCACCATCAGCACGGACCGTGAGTGCCAGATGGGCCCGCATATGCCCCAACAACAACACGTTCATCTCGCGCCCGCTCATGCCCACGCAGAACCGCATCTGCTCGCCGTGGATGCAGTGTCTGTCCAGCGAGTACGAGCTCGTTGCGCCGTCGCTGGTCAACGACCGCGAGTGCCAGCGCGTGCGCTCGTGCCAGCACACAGAGTACGAGGTGTCGACGCCCACGGCCACGACGGACCGCCTCTGCACCACCATCAGTGGAGCAGTTTGAGGTGCTCCCACCGTGCGTGCGTGCCCGCGTACTCTGTCTCGCTCGTCTTTGACGCCAAGTTCAACGTCCTTGCCGGCAGGCTGTCGCACCGCGGGGCGTTTGAGGCCGCGCTGGTGCAGTCCATCAACCACGACGCAGGACGCGTCGCAGATTCATTCTGCGCATCGACCTGCGCCAGGGCCCATCATCGCCACTGTCGCCTCCCTCAACGAGGACTTTACGCGCTCCTCTTCAGCCGATCCGTCTCTGGCGACGTCACCGTCATGGGCTCCACCGCATCGCCGTGCGAGGCCGACGTGTCCTGGACGACTCGTCCCTTTGGGTGCACGCATGCACACGCGATCCCACCCATCGCACACCAACTGCTGGGGGCCTCACACGCACGCACGCTTGCCAGTTCACGTGGACGCCGCATTCCTCCACCAGGACAGCAACAACAGCCACCATCATTGCACCTGCTGTGATCGCGTGCTGCCAGCACATGCCACCTTCACCTCCCACATCATCTTCATCATCCAAACACTGCTGCTGCCACCACCACCACCAACGACAGCAACGAGCTCAAGGCATCTGATGCAGTTGGCTCTTGGACCACCACGGCGTTGTTGGAGGAGACGCCAGCAGTGTTGATGGTTGTGGTAGGAGTGCACGCCATTGCAACAGCAACGACAGCTGATGAGGTGGTGGTGGTGATTGTGTTTGCATTCCTCACTAGTTCCAGCAACGGCAATGAAGTGGGCACTGTGCTTCTGGTGGGCACGCATGTGCTGGCTATTGTTGGTGCCATGGCTGGCAGCAGCAGTTGCTGCAATGCGAGGCAATAGCAATGAAGAAGAAGGTGGATGTATGTGGGGTTGCACGGCACGCAGTCACCCTCCCTTTGTGGTTGGCTGCGCAATTGCATGTGCGCACATCGATGACGGCGATGGCGAGACGGCTGCCAATCAAATCACTTCCCATCTGAAGAGCCACCGCGTCGTGGCTGGTGCACGCGTGCATCTCTTTCTTCCTGCAGGTCGACCATCGACAGAGCAGCGTTGCAGTGTGTCATGCGGTGTTTGATGATGTGTCACTGTTGTTGCCATTGCGTTGGCTGTTTGTTCACATGCACGCCGTGCATACTCAATTTCCTTCCTCCCTGCCTTCCTTCTTGCTGTCTCTCTGCTCTGCCACTCTCCCTTGTCAGTGTTGTGTGGTTGGTTGCTGATTGCCGTGTTGTGGTGATTTCACCTTGCATGTTCAATCGTTTCCCAACAGTACAGTGGGACAGAGCCAAGACATGAAGAAACGACAGCAACCCTCACACGGGCACACACGCAACACCAACACGCACATCCAAGCAAGAGAGGAAAGCAGAAACAGAGACACGGCACTGCTCAAGACAACAGCCATATTGTATGGTGTTACTTGCAGTGCAGCCAAACAACCAAGTGCAAGGTGGCCTGCACCAACAACAACAAGGGCGCAGTCATCCACCAGCCACCACTGTGTGTCAGGGTGCTGCAGGGCAAAGGAGACACACGAAGCGGGCCACGCTCCACGGTGTTGTTGTTGTTGCTGCTGCTGTACTTGAACGCCTCGCACCAGTCCTTCAAGCAAGTCCCTCCAGTATCAGCTGCACTTGGTTGCCATCCTTGTCACCTGGTGGTGCTGTTGTCATCTGCACCGTGTCTCGCGGATGGCCTGTGTGATGAAGCAGAATGCGTCCAGCACCACCGCGATTATGCCAGATGGATTAAGCAGTCCAAGACAAAAGAAGACAACGCTGCAGCCTCCATCATCTTCTTTGCCATATCAAAATGCTTGGCAGATGATGTCAGGTACGTTCGGCAACGCAGTGACATCGTAGTCGTCAAGCTTGTGCGCTTCTGCGGGAGGTGTTGCTGGTGGAACAACAATGGGCACAATGGCGTTGGGGCGGCATCTGGGGTCTGTTGTTGGGCGGAGATGGCACAGGTCAAAC